CTGAGTAAGTATATGGAGAGTTTACTCACCCAAATTTCATTGAGAAGGCTTCGCTACATGGATGATAAGGTCAGAGTTGAAAGAGGACAATAATTACTGACCAGTCTCTTACCTGGTCTCCTTCCAGTTGCTGCTATCCTCTTGGCACACAACCACCACAGATGGATTGAGGTGGAAAGGGGCGTCTGCAGACCATCTACTCCAACTCCCTGTTTCAGCAGGGGCAGCCAGAGCAGGTTGCTCAGGATCTTGATTACGGGGGTTTTGAATACTTCTACAGGTGGAGATGCTACAATATCTTTCTGACTTAGCTTTTAAGCAGTTAAATAATTTTTTATCACTAGTTATATGCTTGTAATCAATAGACTTAGATGAATTATGCTTACACAGATACTACATTTATTTGTTAGATAGGAAGTGCAGCCCCCTTTAGGAATATAGCAAGTCTTATTTATTACTGCTCACTTTGAAACTTTCCCAAGTTTCAACAAGCTGACGATCCTTTCAGTATTTGTTTTGTTTTACATAATAAATACAGCAAATACTGTCTTTATTATTTACTAGACATGTCACTATGACATTGTTTGCCTGAGTTTATAGTCACTACATCGAAAGAATACAAAGATAAACAAAACTAAGCAAATAGATTTTAGATCAAACAAACAGAACCACTTTTTGCATGGTGAACATTCTCACCCGATCTGTGGGAGGAAAGGATGGGGACAGTACTGGTAGTGTGCTAGGATACCAGTGGAACGGCCAAGGCTTCCTAAGACCCACCTGATAGATTAACATCTGCTAACAGTACAGACTTCCGCAAGTTCTGAAAGTTCTCCTTGTCTCCTCTAGATCACAAAGATCACTGCAGAGAATATGTCTATTTAAAGTGCTGTTATGGCAATTAGGTCCTGGGTTAAAATATTAATCTTCCTGCCCAGCATTCCTGAGTCATACCTACAATCTCTATGACAGTGTGTGATATCATAAAAGTAATGATAGGGCAGAAAAGCTGTTACTTTCTCAGGCAGCATCTGGAAAAATATTCAGCTCAAATATGTCCCTGACTCAATGGTTGTAGTTCACGTTGGAAAATCTCCTCTCTCATTTTTGTAAACTGATTACCTAATAGGATGATTGTGTTGTCCCTACCAAATCTTAGTCTTTCTTCAGTGAATTCCATACTCTATTCCCAGTTAAAACCTTCTTGGGCTCTAGTGTGAGTTTTCTGCTTGCTACAGCCCAAAGACAGTAAATACAGAATCGTCCTGACTCAGCCTGAATGTCTTTTCCCTTTGGGTTACTTATAAAGATCCAAGGAAAGGGTAACTTTCTGGTCTTCACAGGCAAATGCATTTTTTAAAATTCCATAAACTGTGTTCAGAAAACCCAGTAAGCCTAGAATATCTGTGCCCAGGCACCCGAGCACACTAGCAACAATGCAGGCAGCATGGCACAGCTGTCAGCCTCTCTGTGTGGCACATTCACAATTAGCACGCCACTCTCCAGGGGTACCGAATTCCATATCCTCTCCTGTAGCAGCCAGTGACCCTTTCTAAATGGGGTTGATTGATGTTATTAGGAGATAACATCTGCCTGATGCAGCATATTGACGTGAGGTGAGAGCTTTCTTTGGGCAGCAGCAGAATGCCTCAATATAATTCAGAGGAAGCAGTATCAGGCAGCAATTGGAGGCATGTATTACAGAGCAATCAAAGAGGATGATCCGCAAATTAAACTGATTCGAAACAGGTGCCCTTTCTCTTTTACTTCCACATCAAAGGCAGAAAGACGAAGAGGACTTAGAAATATTGCAGTGTCATACCTGTCTAGCCATATTTCCCTCAATTCAGGGGAGCAGATCTCGGCTTAACAACAGTTTTGTATTGTAAAATGTATTATCCTTCTTGCATTCAAAGCACCCGCAGAATCAGGGTCTGGATATAAAAAACCTTAGAAGTGACAATAAAGCATGTCTTTCATAAAATCATTCCTTTACTTCTAGATCAGGTTTGAAAACTCTCCAGGAAAATCTGATTGAGATTCCTAGTTACAGACCCTAGAACTCAGAGTCACTGTAAAGGTATCAGTGAACTTTTCAGCAATGTTTAAGGAGACCCTTTTTTTGTGTCTGTGTATCCACATGTATATGTATACTACAGTATGTATAAGCACATGTGTATATGCTCTGTTTACATACAAAAATGGAACTCTCCTGCAAACTGACTGACTCTTAAAATACTATTTTAACACACTCTGGCAGATCTCCCAACTGCTGCCATTACAGAAATTAGTACTATTCATGTTCTCATCTATAAAGCTGGTGATGGATTCATAGGCAGAAATGCCATTTGTGGGGTGAGAAACATGGCCAGAAATGTTTGTTCAATTTTCAACAAGCTTTTGGAGCTCAGAGACCCAGCAAACATGTCAACAACCAATGCCTGTCTTGAACAGTTCATCTAAAGTAAATATATACAATGTCTGACTTTTACTGCCAAAAGAACTGCCACAAAAATCATATTTTTGTTATTAGAAAACGTGAAACATTCCACAGTTCTGCCTCAGGCTCCTGGAAACTCACATACTTGAAAAACAGTGTTTTGGATAGGTGAGGAACACCCTGTGGAACAGCTTTCACTAAGCTGGGATGGGACAGTGCTTGAAAAAAAGCACAGGGACACTGAAAATCCAGGATTAAAACTGCAACTTCATCACATCCATTGCAAGGGTATGTTGCTCTCAAATCAAGGCTGGGTCTGTCCCCAGGATATGCCCATCTGTCACAAATCACCCCATGTGATGCCCCATCCTCAACAAGCTCCCAAAGCCAGTTGCCTCTCTTACTTCCTTGAGTCTGGCAGAGATCAGTCATGTAACCAAAGCTTTATCCAACCTCTGTCCCTGAAGGAACGTACTTAAAGTCAGACAGTGCAAACAATAGCTCCAGTCATGACTGGCTTTTGGAGTAATTTGGCCAGATCTAGCTCAACAGCACTTAAATTATTTTTTCTGAAATGTCCCCAGTTGAGCCCTTAATTATAATGTAATCTAAGATCTTCAGACCTCCTCCCTCTATAACCCACCCACCCAGGTGTTTGAGTATGACACTAGGTAAAACCACGCTTCTGGTATGCCCCTTTTGTGATCTAACCAGGAAGGGAATGCAAGAGAAATTGCGTTTTTGTAATTACTCTTTAAAAGATAATTGCATACGTGTTTAAGGTGTAATTTTAGCAACCTAAAGAACTACTAGAGGAATTCTAATATTGTAACTCAATTGACATGATCAAGAGAGAGCACAGTTAAAGCCTGTAGTAACCCACACCACCTACATGTACTTAAAGCAAAAATGGGCTAGGCATAAAATTAGAAAATAAGCAAACTGCTTAAGCAGCCTGTGAGTTACACTAAACAAAGCTGCTATTGCCAGAAATGCATTGACTTCACCACGTCACAGGAATTGTATGTTCCAAACCAAAATCAAAATCCACCTTGCATCGCAGTGCAAAGGCAGCCAGCTCTGCGCCCTGGGGGAGGCACGTGCAAAGCAGGAGGACTCTGCAGAGAAATATCTTTCACTGATCCTAGACAGTTCATTCTATGGAGCATCCCCAGGTGATTTCTAACTGCTACGGTGATGAACAGGCTGAAAGGCAGTATCTCTGATACAAAAAACAGAAGAAAAGAGAGCAACTAAAGAAAGGCTGCTCAAGTCACTAATATAAATATCCCAAAAATGTAACTACAACACTAGCAAATTTTTTGGAATAGACATAAACCACAAGTTTCGAAGCTCAAGCCAATGCCTAGATGAGAAAGAGATCATGAAAAGATGTTTCAATTGGGTAGATTCATGTCTGTCTGTCTACTGCATAGTTAGAGAGTCCTCCAGAGCATTTGGAAATGCAGTGACTGCTGCCAGGAAACAGCCTGTTCTCACATTTTTATGCCTCCCACCAAGGCTGGTCTGTGATCTGAGGAGAAGAGATACATCCTCTATAGTGAAAAACATGGCAGTGGTGTAGCTCACTAGGAGAACTTTTACTTAGAACAACGCCAACTTGATTTGTGCTTTGAGGAAGACAGAAATGTAGGTATTTTGGGGATGAGGTCAGGATGGGAGGAGGTGGGAGAAGACTTACTGCACACATCCATGCTTTCAGTACAAAGCTTCCTGGTGGTGAGCTATATGGAGCAGAACTACAGAAACTTCGGGATCTAGTCACTGGCAAACATTGCTCCTTAGAAAATGGTACCTAAACAAATGCCAAAGAGTCTAGATTCTTCAGGTCTTTCAGATAAACAGAACCATTTCAAATGAGAACCAAATGGTAGAACGGTGCAGCAGTGACAAATGCTCTGATCCGACAGTCAGGGCACAATGCTGTGCTCATGCAGGGCCTCAAATGATTTTTAATAAGTCTCCACAGAAGCAGAGCAGTCCCCTTTGCACACTATCAACTACAACACCAGGACTTAATTCAGTATCCAGCTCCACACCCCCCATCATGTTGGCAATAATTCAGAGTTGGTGAGACAACATGTAAAGGGGGAAAAAAAAAAAAAAGCAAGCAGTGTTTTAAACCTCTCTAATTTAATGTTAGCTTTTTATGTGTCTAACATCAAAGCATTTTTTCACTTCGATTTAATCAAAATTAATCACTAAGGTTACTACAGTAATTTATGTTGGAGATTATTGAAATGAGTGTTTTATTAAAATCTGGTTTTATTAATAAAACACATTCTGGCTAAGGAATCCTGTGAGTCTGCTATTAGAGACTATTAACTGGGAACTGGGAGTTAATCATAACAGTCATGCTGCCAGGTCCTTTGACAGCAACACACACTGCGTTTGTTTCTGCTTTCACTTTTACTAGCATATTCAAGTCAATTAGTTACTCTAGTACACAGGTCAGAGCACCTCCTGTAAAACAGGGAAACAAAGGTACATACATCCCAGTAGTTTTGAACAAAGAAAGGGTAATCAGAAAGAGACTCACCAGCCTGATTAGTTGTGATGCTGACAGCAGCAAATTGTCTGGAAAGTGTACTTAAGTCAGATACCCCGTTGACTGCATCAATCTCAAACGTGTAATTAGTATGTGCCAAAAGGTCCACTACTGTCACCGTGGTGTTAGTGAGTCCAGTCTGACGGGGTAAGAATCGCACGTTGTCGCTACACGGCTCACACATCTTAATGTTTCCTCCACATTTTTTGCAAATGATGTTGAAAGTGACATCTTTCCGACCCCCAGTGTCAAGAGGCCAGCTCCAGTCCAGGATAACAGATGTCTCGTTGATGTTAGAGATAACGTTCCTCGGAGCAGATGGTGGCCCTATAAAAGGAGACAGGGAATCAGAGGGATGAGATTTTCTGTAGTGCTTTAAGATGGGAGTAACAAGGGTGCAAAATTACAAAAAGTCAAAACCACAAATAACCAAACTCTTCTGGTTATTTCCTGTAGAGACTCCTGAAATATTTCACTGGACTAAAGACCTAGGCTATCAAGGACCATGTTTTCTTATGGACAGGTAGTACCCTCAGGGTACAGTTCAGGACTGGGGGCTGAAAATATTGGTAACATTTTAAAAATCCTAGCTCTCCTTCTTGAGTCTGATGGAAAGAGAAAATGAAAACAGAAAGACATAAACCTAGACCATCAATTTTTTGGTAGTCTGTTCAACATTTAAGAAGACATGGGAGGCAGTGGATGGCTGACTGCAATGGGACATGAGAGGAAGCAAGCAAGCTGCTGAGATACAGACGGAGGAGCAAGAATGACAGCCGCGAGCATAATGGTGCTACTCACTGGTGCAAGCCATGGATGGAGGGTCTTTCTCAGAGCGAAAGTAATTCTTTTCACACCTGCAGTTCAGAGATGCGTCTTCATAGGTAGAGCTGTGAGGTGGGCATTTTGCACACTTCACATTGCCGGCAGAGGCTTTGTAGAAACCGGGTCGACAAGCTGCAAAATAACAGGAGTATCGCTTTAAATCCCATGGACATATCCTCTATTTTAACAGGCGACTGGGACCTATCCTTATGGAGATGGCATTTTGCAGACTTTTATGGTCTAAAAATACAGATTTTTCTCATAATGAGAAAGCTGATAGAAATAAAGCCTTTTGGCAGAACAGAGCTCTTCATGCATCAACTCGGATTTGCATTTAATTTTGCCTGGAAAACAAAACAGTGTACTGCACCACTAAGAGGAAATAGTTTCTATGTTTCTTTTTGAGAATTTCACTTATTTTTTCTTCTCTTCTGGTTAATTAACTAAAACTTTGGCCCCATCCTGCATAAGAAGCTACCTTTTATCCTCTTTCTGCTGCCAAGGTTTATTTACAAGGGCAAACTAATTATGTCTCTTCAGTTCAGCAAAGGCAAAACCAAGAAAATAACCTGAACAGTGAAAGATCTGTTCCATTTCTGAAGGACCATGCATCAAGGTCAATGAGCTGCTTCTAATATTATCAGGAACCTGCATGGTCTGTATGAGGAGAGTGTTTTTTGCATCAGCCGAGTTCTCTAGGGATGGTGCTTGAACCTGTAAAAGCTGCTTTTGAAAAAGCTCTGGGTGGTGGTGTTTCATTAACACTGGCACACTCCCTCTGTTTTAACTCCTGTTGTGTTTTAGACTGATTCAAGGCCACATTTGCATCAGAAAAAGAACCAGCTTGTGAAGGAAGTTACAGAAATGAATAATTTAACAAATAACTTTTTATGAAAAACGCAGGCAGTGAAATAACACTGTTGACTTCTCTCCACTGAGATGATATCATCCGCTGAAAGTAAAATAGATTTAAAAAGAGACCAAAACCAGTTAAGAATCAGCAGCATCTACTGTTCAGCTGCTACTTCGCCCGAAGACACGAATCCTTCTCCAGACGGAATTTCCCAAGTAAAAACATTCTGGCTGACGTCACTCACTCTCTGGTCTATACTCATACCTACAGCAAACACATACAACAAGACAACATTTTAAAACATGTTCCCCTTTTGCACTACATTTTGGTTCCACAGCACATACTGCCTAATGCACAAGCACACTAGGAAAGCCCTTATTACAAATAGAATTTAAATAAATAAATACAGAATACAAAGAAAAACATGACTTATCTTTGAGTCTGGAGTTAGGCTTACATAAAATTGCCCAGGATCTGCCGCTGAATTAAGTGCTAATTTGAAGCCAAAAGAATTGGTTCACCAGTTTTAGTATAAAGCTACACGTAGACACATGTTTTGTTTTTGCTTATAGAGATGAACTGATTCCTAAACATAATATAAAATCCAAGATAAAAGACTATATGGTCTTTTGTGTTTATTCATGCACTGTCCAAACAGAAAAGTGTTTGGATGGGCAGTCTGAGGCGCAAAAAAATCTGAATAAAAATCCAAGCATCTTTGCAAGTGGTGAAGGAGAGAGGAATGCTGCAGCATTAAACTGGATGTTGGGCTTCCATGTTATCATCCATAAACAAAACCTAACTGAGTATCTTGGTTAAGCAAATTTGATTAGTTCCTGGTGCCAAACACCTGAGTGAAATGCACTGGCATGCAGAGCAAGAACAAACCCCTACACAGTCATACGTTCTACTCTGAAACATCTTAATAAAGAAAACCCTTCTCACGCTGCATCTAACATAGTGTGAGAAGCATGAAATGTTTCAGGAGGAAACACTAAGCTTGTCCACTCTTCAGCACTTCACAGCCTTTGCAAATCACGGCACCTGGCTGCAGCTGCCACCCCCGAACTCCACACTGGCAAAGCAGCTGGAGAAGACATCTCCTGCTCCCAGCTCTCTCCTGCAAGCCCTGAGGAAACAACTCCGAGTTTAAGCCTCTGAGGCATGGGACCAACTGACAATCTGTGAAAGCAGAATTGCCCAACGCTAACCTCCCCCACCTAGTTTGGCACAGCCTGACCTCCTTCAGCCCACATTTTGTGTCTTTCTGTCTCCTCAAAGGCTGCAAGGGCGCTTGGGGATTTCTACTTAACTTGAGGAAAGAAAGGAAACCTAAGCCCCTCTTAAACACCTCCAGTAAGAGAAAACGCAGCAGGAAATAGAGTTGGATTTTTAAGTTTTGTTGTCATTACTGCTGCAGCCTTTGGAGACTCAGATCTTATTCCCTCCCAAATACTGCCCCATGACACATGTACCATATTGAAAGCGAGCCTCTTTGGTCTCCCTCGGGATGACACAGGAGCCTCAAATGATTTTACTGTCTCAGTCAGCACAGCACCGTCTTTGCTGGCCCTAAAACAATGAGCCAGGCAGAGAACAGATGCCAGTCCCACTTGCACCTGCACTAGTAACTAAGCAAACACATTAAGGAATAAACATTGTGCTATGTCTGTCCCACTAATTACACAGCACTTCCACCAAAACTTCCCCTGAAACATACTGCTAGGTATTAAATTAAAATGGTTTCATTTAATCCTATCTACTCAGCTTGAAGGGACATTTTTATATTTAAGGGCAGGCCTACACAGGACCAAGATGCATTTATGGATACATAGCAGATTTATTCTTTTTTTAAAAAAATTTATATACTAGCTTAATGCAAATATTGGAAAAAGTCTAATATACTAAAACTGAGACTTTGTCATATGGTTGGTCTCCCTGTAAGACACAATTTCCACTGCTTAATAAACATAATTTATTCATGGCATTGTACCAAATGAGCATTCCTTTACAAGATGGAACTATTTATTTGGGATACCTTCAAAGCACCTACCACCAACAGTTTAATACAGCAATGAATTTAACATAAGTAAACAAGCTTGCATAGGAAGTGGACAGATTTTCTGGGATGAGGAAGAAGAAGGAATCAAACTACTCCATTAATTAATGTCTCAGGTGAAAGACAGGTGACAACTAATTTAAGAAAAGATGGTGCAGAGAAAAACAAAAGAGGAGCATGCAGGAAGCACCTTGGTAACAGGAGATCAGGCTTTATCTTTTCCGGGAGGAGAGGGATTTTGCCGTTTAGTGCTTCTGCTGTCATGGCAGAGTAAGAATTTGGGGTGGGGGGATGTCCCAGTTGGGTCCCTGCTGCCCTGGTATGTTCTAGAGAGGGCATCCCGATCTCATGTCTTCCTCTCAGGCTTTCTCTCTTTGTCTGTCAGACCAATTTAAGATAATTCACAACTGCAGCTCAAAGGAGAAAAACAAAAGCAATTATACTTGAAATTGAAGCTTGGAAAGGGGAGTGTCAATAGAAAATGTTGTCAGTGTACTTCCTATTATAATACTTCTTCCAGTCATTTTTTAATTCTGATAGAAAAGAGAAAAAAATGAAGCCATTACTTCAAAAGGCATTCATTTTTTTTATATCAGAAAAATTGGATTGCATGGACTGATGGAAGAGAGTTTGGCTTTTTGAGGTGAATACCATGGCTTTGGTTTTAGTCAGGTTGAAAATAAAAGGGCTAATAGGAAGTCTTCACAGAATCTGTAAACCAGCTGTGAACAGCAGTTGCTTTTTCCTGAATATCTTCCAGAAGCTAAGAAACTTTCCTTTCCCTTACAAGGGGGAATGATGTGAGAAGTAGATGTAATGGGCCAGGAAGAAAAACCTTTCGGCAAACTAAAAGTAAGTTAAGGAAAGCTTGAGAGTTTCTACATACATGACATAAACTGTACAGCAAGGCTGTCTGTTTTTGCTTTTTAAGAAGGTCTCCAAGTCAGATGCTTGATGCCTGCAGGCCCCAGTGACTCCTGTGATAACACCGAACTGCAACATTATTTTAAAACTGTATGCAGTTTGAATTCAATCTCTTTGATTTGAGTGCGAGCCGCACGAGCTTTGTTGAAGTCCCCTACTTGTAAGAATTTCAGGACTGTGGTTGTCCTTGTTACTGTATGAAAATGAATTTCCTTAAGCTATAACTGATTAGTCTGTCTCAGAGACAGAGTGGGGAACTGCATCCAGCATTCTATGGCAGCTACTGCTTAAAGAAACACAAATGTCTTTCAACAGTAAAGCCAATTTTGCCTGTGTTTGACTAACTTGCTTGAGATGAAAACACGGTCCTAATCAAGGGTTACATGATTCACTTCAATTTGAATTAATTTTAAATTAAAATATAAAGCTGTCAGTAAATAGAAGTATTTTAGTATTCAGGCCCTGCAGCCCCCTATACACAGAACAATATCACCAATTCCCAGCCGTAAACAGCAGCTCACGACCCGAGCCTGCGCTGCCTGAGAGCAGATGACTTCCCAGCCCCGGTGCTCCAGGCCCAACAGGGCCCATTTCCCTGCACAAGGACAAAGCAACTCTTGATTTGCAACATGAGCTGCGCTCCCCAGTCCTATGGAAACACTGCTTTTTGTGCTTTGAATGGAGGTGCGGTGCTTCGAGGCAAGGTTCAAGCATCGCAACACACTAGAAGTGATGTCATGAACAGTCACGAAACGGGGTATGCAAGGGCAGCATCCAGCAAATGATCGAGTTGTTCCTTCCTTTGTTCCTCTGCTCTTCAATAAAACAGCCTGGGGGCTAAATGCCACTGTGGCATTAAACTGCAGCCTTTAGAGAAGAGGAGAGTTCAATCATAAGCTTGTAGGGCTCACGGATACCTTGTTTCCTCATAGTGTGCTTCAGCAAGATGGACAACAGCAACCCTGGAACAAGCCTCCTGTCCCTGTCCCCCGCAGAGAGGACAGAGAAGCATCCCCTACACGTGTGTGGTCTGTAGTGGAGGGGCTCTGTGAACCACTCTTTCTGTCACCTGTGGCAAAGAGCAGCATCAGAGCTCCTGATGCCAGACCTGAAGCCACAGGATGACCTTTGGCTGTGCAGGTGTGCTGGCAAGAGAATGCTACTGACCAGCTCACCTCAATGCTCAGGTAGAGCCTTGCATCTTCACAGAATCACAGAATCATTGAGGCTGGAAAAGACCTCTGAGATCATCAAGTCCAGCCTATGACCCAACACCACCACATGGGCCAGACCAGG